GGCACGGAAATATAAATAAATGATTCCTTGACTGTCTACCTAAGATATAATAAGAGGCAGATGAGCAGGATTTACCCCAAAGGAACAAGAATGGACTCCTCCAACTACAATCCCCAACCTTTTTGGAACGTTGGTTGCCAGATGGTGGCGCTCAACTACCAGACGATGGGTAAAAATGGAGATATCACACTTTAAAATGCTCAGAAATATACTTAATACCCTTTGTGAATGTTTGGAACCATCTACCGTTCCTGTTTAAATACAGTTTTCTGACACACTGATGACACTGTGTGTTTTAGTCATTTAAAATCTATTCTGTTTATTCGCCACAGCAGGTCAGTGTTGCACCTTTTTGTGCTGCACAGGCCTCTGTTCGCTGCCTCCCTTTAAGCTGAAGACAAGTGGCGTGAATGGGCTGTTTGTGTCTCACTTACAGATTTCCCCATGCAGCTCAACATGGCCCTGTTTGAATTCAATGGCCGAACGGGCTACCTCCTCAAGCACGATGTGATGCGTCGCAATGACAAGAAGTTTGACCCTTTCTGTGACAGGATTGACACCGTTGTGGCGAGCACACTGACCATCAAGGCCGGTTCACGAACCTGTTATTACAAAGTGTCTCTTTCTTTAACCATCAGTGTGGGCTCCTATTATCTGTGGAAGCTGAATGTCAGAGTAATTAAGTTTCAAGCTCCATCTTTTCATCATTTCTGCATCATTTCTGGCATTTCACTGCAGAGAAACTCATGAAGAATTAGTGCAGTATGTGTATAACAGATGGCTGTTTTGGCTTTGGGAAGTTTGTCCATGTTGTCCTTGTGTAATATCTTAATAAAAACATAATTTGCTTCATGTAGGAGTCCAGCTGTTCAAAAGTCCAGTCTTGTATATATAAGTCATCCAATCATATCTACTTGTCTCCATAGATCTATTCGGGGCAGTTTCTGGCTGACAAGAATGTAAAAACAGGGGTTGAGGTGGAAGTGATTGGGCTGCCAGGAGACCCTAAGAAGAAATACCGCACCAAGTGGTCCACGACACCCAACGCCATTAATCCAGTGTGGAATGAAGAGCCATTTGTTTTTGAGAAGGTGAATAAAATACCATGTAAACATTTTCAGCCACTCCTCAGTCTTCATATTTTGATGTGAAGGCAAAAACAGAGCTTGTACAATTCTAATGAGCTTGAAAGTCAGTATTTGGTATGAGCACCATTTTTCTTCATCACATCCTGAACTCTCTTTGACAGGAATAGTTCTTCAGGCTCCTTGAAGGACATTCAAAACTCTTCTTTGGATGCTGCCTGCCTTTTGTTCCGATCTCTGTTAAGACGATCCCACACTGCTTTAGTAGGGATGAAGGTTCAAGACTGATAGTGTTTTATTGTGTGTTTGGGGTCATTGTCATGCTAAAAAAATGAAGCCATTGCCAATTAGATGCTTACCAGATGTTGCACCTCCCTCCTGACCTCTTCCATCCTTTTCACACCTTGAGTTAGATACCTGTATTATGCTTGAATGGTTTATACATCAGTGTTAAGCATCTTAACAAAAACACATATACACACAAAAGCATTCCTCTGAAAATGCCCAGGTACAAGGACAGGATTGAAAAGGAGTTAAAAAGCAGCCGGTGTCCAAAGAAAAATGTTGAAAGAAATTCAGAAAGCCTGGAGAAATCATACTCAAGACCACTTTAAAATATTACAAGAAAGTCTGACTCCTTGATGAATAAATGAATGAAATGATGTGTCACTAACATATCTGTTGTTGTTTACATGGTTAGATCTTGCTGCCAGAATTGGCATCTTTAAGAATCGTTGTCCATGAAGAGAATGGCAAATTTGTGGGACACAGAATCATCCCTCTTGATGCCATCCAGTCAGGTCAGCGAAGCTGAGAATATTTGAATTCATACTTCATATAATATACATAATTAAAGCAATGAATCACTCTAGGCCTCAGAACATTTGCCAGCTTGTTTTAACCAGCTTCTGCATCAGGCAAGCTGCTGCCTTGCTTTTATTTCACCAAGGTTTTATTTTCATGTCCTGCAGGCTTCCACCACATCTGCCTGCGCAGTGAGAGCAACATGCCCCTCACTCTGCCTGCTCTCTTTGTGTACATTGAGGTCAAGGACTACATCCCTGCTGCCTTTGCGGGTGCTTAGCCTTTTACTTTGTGTTTTTGCAAAAGAAGAAAACCTCTGCTGCGAGTGAATCCTTGTTGCCAGAGTGACAGTTAGAGAAGAGAAGACTAATGTAGTTTGGAAACATTTTTGTTTTCTTCTTTGTCTTCGTACCCACACTTATGTTTGGTTTAAGAATAAATCATTGTACACTCATTAAAATGGTTTGTTTTGCAGATTTCACAGATGCCTTATTTAATCCGACAAAAGGCACAGAGAAAACCACAAAGCCTCCCAAACAGGTAAAAAAAGAGAGAAAAAACATCATCAGCAATACCTTTGGATTTCCAGTAAATCCTAACAACACTAATTGAGTTCCTGGAATATAACCACTTGCTAGACTGTTATGTTCCTGTCCTTTTCTTCTTTTACCCCCACAGTCATCTTCTGACTATGTGTCTCCCTATGAGTTGCCTCTTGGAGCCCAGCCTCCCGCAGACCAAGCTAAAGAAAGTGAAGCCCCTGCTGCAGGTAATGAAGCTTTAGAGGGTGACACTTCAGATCTTGCATTGCAAAGATTTTGAGCTTGTCTCTGGCTCACACAATTGGTCTCAATGCTGGTGTATTTGAAGGTGCATTTAATCACTTCCTCCTCTAGAAAAAGCTGCATCCGAACCTACACCGCCCGCTGATGCCACTGACCAGTCTCCACCAGCAGCTGGTGCAGAAGAAGCTAAAAAGGAGGAAGAAAGCAAGGCAGAGACCCCTCAAATTGTCGATGAAGCCCCAGCCAATGCAGCACCAGATACAGGAAGCTCCAGATCTGAAACCCTTCCTGAAGCCTCTCCTTCACCCGAGGAGACCAAAGCAAGCCCGGAGCCTGAAGCGGCTCCTGAAGCCAAAGAAGAACCGAGCACCGAGTCTTGCACAAACCCCGAACCTACATCTGATAAAAAAGAGGAAGCCAGTGCAGCTGCAGAACCTGCTGAAGCGCCTTCTGCTGCGGCCGTTCCCTCTCCAACAGTTGCAACCACCGAGTCTGCAGGATCAGGTGACTCATCTCAGCCGCAGACGGGCAGTGAAGGTAACACTGCAGCACTTCATGTGCTGCACTCATCATAGTTTTCCTTTTGTCAATACACTCTGGATAAAAGCGCTCTGACAAGGATAATACAGAACAATTTAGAGTTATTTTTTGTTGAATAGATTCATTATAATTGCATATCCAGTGCTGAAAAGTAAGAAGACTCCACAAAAAAAAATCCCCTTTGTGTTTGTGCTGCAGAGCCTTCGACTGTGACTACTGAAGAACTGACACAGCACAAGAGCTATCAGAAGGTCATCAAGCGTCAGGAGAAAGAGATAAAAGAATTAGAAAAGAAGTATCAGAAAAAAGGCGAGGATCTGATTCAGAAATACTCCGACTCTTTCAAGGCCCTCAAGAAGAAGGTTTCAGTGAAGAAAAAAGAGTAAGGGGATGTTTTCCTTCCCAAATTTGTTTTCAAAGAGCTTTCCAGAGTGAATTTGCAGCTATATATTTTAGCTAGGGTGCTTGACAAAAGAGCTTTTGATTATCCCGCTGGAAGGAGACAGTCCTGTTTCCTGCAAAGCAGCGCTCAAATCTCCACAAATTAATAGTGACTCACTAATAATGTTGCTGTTTTTGGATTAATAAGACTATATTTAGAAACATGAGGAGTACAGCTACAGTTAATGTGCGTTTCTAGCTGACACTGACTATTAAGATGAGGATGAAGAAAATGAGTGTCTGCAGTGTTTGTCACTGAGCTGTCAGAGCAAACCAAGTGTTACTAAAGGCCAAATAAGCATTTTGTATAGTATTTTCTGGAAGCTCATGGTTGTCAGCTATGAAGGGCAGTGGCTGTTAGTCAATAAACTGTATTGCCCGCACATACTGATTTATTGTGTCATGTTATTTTTCACCAGGGGAGGTGACAACACCCCTGAGTCCAACAGGAAGACAGAGCGGGTGCAGGAGCTGAAGGAAAAAATGACGTCTGAAATAAAAACACTGTTTGCTGAGCAGTATGATCAGATGAAGAAGAAGAAGGAGCAGTGTGCAACAGAGGTTAGTGACACTGAAGGTGACAATAAACACATTACACACATTGCAGCCAGATACTGTGCTTAAAGGCGCACTAATCAATACTGTCATAATTAACAGTGAACCAAATGATTACTGCTGCAAGTGAAAGGTCCCCTCAGCTCTATGGAATATTTCAGGATCTTATCTGCTCATTATTTTGGTTTTATGACTCACAAAACACCGTGTTTGTTCAGTGGCTTACTCGCTACGTGACGCAGGCAGCTGTTTTCAACTCCAATCAAATCTATTGTGTTCCACCTGCCCAAATACCAAACATGAGCCAGACAAGTATAATTACTAAATACTGTAAAGCCATCGTTTCTATGTGTGCTGGAAGACGGTGAATTAGGAGATGAAGGAGATTGGCTATCAGGGTTATACTAACTCAGTTGGACAGAAACATTAGTCCAGAGAAACATGACACGTATGTCTCTTGATTATATGAATACAGTTACCACTTTATAAGGCACACACGTCCTTTTGCCTTCATATTTTCGTCTTGTAATAGATTCAAAAAGACATTTAATCCATACTGACATGATAGCATGACACAATAGCTTCAGATGTCTCAGCTGCACATCCATGATCTCCCTCACTGTTATGTTCAACCAATAACCAGTTTGAGATCATCTGAGCTTTGCGACATTGTGCGGTATCCCGTGGGAGGCAACCATGCCGATCACACTGTGGTCACATAGGGATGGACATTGTCAGCCACCAAGTGTGCAAAGAAAATATCCCCCAGACCTTCATCACTACCAGTAGCAGCCTCAACTGCATCATTCAAGTCAGGATGGATCCATGTTTTCATGTTGTTTATGCTACAAACCAACAAATATCTGAGCAGAAATCAAAAGTCATTAGACCAGGCAGCATTTTTCCAATCTTCTGTTGTTCAATTTTGGTGAGCCCATAAAAATTCTAGCCTCCATTTTCTGTTCTTAGCTCATAGAAGTGCACTGGGTGCAGTTTTAGGCTGCAAATGCTCTCCTGTATGGCTTGCTTGAGATGAGCCGTTATTTGAGTTATTATTGCCTTCATTTCAGCTAAAAACAGTCTGGCCATTCTCCTTCGCCCACTGGCATCATCAAGTTATTTCCACCCAGAAAACTCACTGGCAGATCGGCATTTTCCGAAATACTCACCCTTTCCATATTTAAAGTTACTTAAATCACATTTTTTCCACATTCTGATGCTCAGTTTGAACTTCAGTAAGTTTTTTTGACCATGTCTGCATGCCTTGGTGCACTGAGTTGCTGCCATGTGATTGGCTGATTAAAGTGGCTCGTGAGTGTAAATCAGTTAAGACATGATTTACCCCAATTTAAGTAAAAATCAGGATGCTGATAAGACATCATGAACTCGTTCGGTGATATTATTTAAACGTAATCTGCTTTGAAAAATAAAATATTATTTTTATTTTGCACGGTGATACCTGTGAGGCCTGTTTCCAACGTTAAAAGAAGTAGGCTTATATGGTAACAATGCTATGCATTTAACACTATTACTAGATCTATAATGTTAATGTTTGGAGCTGTTGCCTTCCTACTGTTGTAAAGTGTTTCTAAAAGGCATCAAATGGGTATGATATTCACATCCTGTCCTTACAGTACAAAGTGGCTTATAAAAGTAACAACTGAAAGACAAACTCTTCTCTGTGTGCTCTGGTCACCCCTACAGCCATTAGTCTCCTCACTCTGAAATCTCTGTTACGGTATATATTTACCTGTTCACCTCAGATTAATGTCCATGATTCAGGATGTAGTCACTATTTCCTCTATGGGCTCTCCTCGTTGTGTGTTTGGGATCATGGACAAGCAGAGGCTTTATTAATTACACACAAACTGGATTGCTGTTACTAATAGTAATCAATCTATATATAAAGAATCTGCTTGACCCCAGTTTTTGCACAGAAGCAAACATTTTCATTCACATTGTTACTCACAGCTATTCACATCTCATGAGTTGGAGCTTCATCCTTACTGTGACTGCACCATCTTCTTATTGTGTTGTGACAGAGACTAGCCAAACTGTTGGAGATGGCCATGGAGAAGCACGCCATTGAACTGAAAACCCTGGAGAGGTGTGAGCACACATGCAACACATTCAGGACATGATGCGCACATGAGGGAGCAGAAGGCTTTGCTGAGTCTATCCAATCTGCCCCTTCAGACTTTGCCGTGACAGTCTGTGTGTGTGTGTGTGTGTGTGTGTGTGTGTGTGTGCCATTTGAGGTGAAATATTTGACATTTAGCAAAGAGAATACCTCAAATAATGAATGAATCACCTCAGCAGGCGGGTCTTCCAATGTCCTTGGCTGGGCTTATGGTGTTATATGTGTGTGTGTGTGTGCATCATCCCAAGTCCCCAGCTGGCAGATGGTTATCTCAGGACAGCCATTATCCAGCAGGTGTTTAAACAGCAGTAGGGAAGCAAAGGCAGGCTTGATCATCTACCTGTCCACTCAGGCACAAAAACACAGCATTCAAGCGTTCCTTTCACTATAAAGATAAGGTCACATAAGACACACACAGCCCTACAACTCTTGATTAAAGGAGAAAGGGTGTTTATAGGGTCACTTTTCAGTGTCAGATTTGAGATCCTCACATGTTCCCTTTGTCTTGCTCTGCAGCGAAACCAAAGAAAACAAGAAAAAAGCCAATATGAAATGTTCGTCCACAGACAAAGCAAAGTAAGTTCACGACATTCAGGTTTTATTCATCACTCTAAGTTAGTTACAATTTATTTTAGAAAGACCAAAGAATTAAGAGAGCGAGAGTGAAGATCTGAATTTTTAACATTTTGTACAAGATGATTAATTAAAGATAAATTTATTCATTCAGGCTGAAAAAGGCAATGAGCACTGAGATGCTGGATGAAGCGAGTCAGTCGAATGCTGCCGTGAGTACAGAAGTTGTTTCAAAGTGATCTAACACAATCAAACTTTTTTTTTAGTTTGTGTGCAAAATAAAAGGCACTGTTTGACATTTGTGGTCATCTTTTTGCTAAAAGCTAAGCTGAACGTAACACTACAACCAGAAAAAGGGTTACCGTAGCCTAGAAAAAGGAAAATGAGGGAAACACTTTACAGAGGTTCTCAAATTTACATTAATCAGTAACTGGCCTTTTTTAGTTTTGTCATTCTAATTAGTTTATATTTTTATTTTGTTTTGACTTTTTGGTTTTAGTTCAGTTTATTTTGAGTTTCAGTTCTTGTAATTATTTGTGTATTGAGGACAAATGTCAGAGGCAAGATGTAAGAAAAGCAGAACAGATATTACATTAAAAACAGAACTTTTTAGAGCAGTTGACTCAAAGTCTGATACATGTCCAGACTCTCAAAAAAAAGCTTCATAAGGTAAGTTTTGAAAAATAATTTCACCAAATGTACAAACACTAAAACTAAAAGGACATTTTCCCTATATTGTTATTTTATTTTAGTTAATTTGCTAAGCTTTATTTTTTTAAAGATCTAGTTTTAAGTTTCATTTTAGTTAACTATAACAGGCTTGTACTAGTAACCTTTCTTGTTACCTTTAAACAAACACCTGCTAGCTGTTTCCGCTGTAATCTGTTGTTGTCTTATGCTAAGTTAAACATTTAGATTTTTATGCTAAGCTAAACATTTAGCCTTTTATGCTAAGCTAAACAGTTAGCCTTTTATGCTAAGCTAAACATTTAGCCTTTTATGCTAAGTTAAACATTTAGCTTTTTATGCTAAGCTAAACATTTAGCCTTTTATGCTAAGTTAAACATTTAGCTTAGTTGCAGCTTTACTGTACATCTGTGAGCACTGTACTGGCAGACTGGCTGAGACAGGCTAAAGCTGTGACATTCAAATCATGAATGTTACTTTGTAAAAAAAAAATATATATTTTTATTATTATTAAAGGAAGATAAAAGCAATGACATTGGAAAAATAACAAAATAACACAACACTGGCAGCAATGCAACTTAGTAATGAAAAATACTCTCTTTCAAGGTAAAAACCTTAAGGATTTTCTACTTCTGGAAATAAAATTTGAAGGTTGAGTTTTACTGTGGCTTTCTATATACTTGCTAACACACTGTTGGCTAGTAACCGCTGGCATTCTGGCAGGAGATAACCCTGCAAACCATGTGAGAGTGCCAACTGTTGTACTTTCTAGCACTAAAATAAACATAAAAGGAAAGAAGCTTATACTGCAAAAAAGGGAAACAGGAGAAGGATCGGTTAGAGTTTTGCTATGTTCACAGATGAAGAGGTCATTGCTTTGAAACTGCAGAGCCAGAAACCTAGGGGGCCTTATGTTTGACTGGAAGGCTGAAAATTTTAAAGGAAGACCTTATTTTCACAATTTTACAGTTTTTCCTATTAATTAAGCTCTCCACCATAGCCACTCTGTAATTTTACACATCTATCATGTAGAAAACTAAGATGTATTATTGAAATTGTACTATTGCTGGGACCTAATGTGTAGTTGAACATAGACAGAAAGGGGAGTTTCACTCGTCTGGCCCACTTAACCGCAGGCTTTATGTGGCACACGGTGTAAAATGAGCTTAACATCCCTGTTTTTAAGGCTAGAAACTTCATCACAAACAATATTTTCATTTTGCAGAAATGAAATACGTGTCCCGAAATGTTAAAATTATTATTTTAGTAATTTTCATGTACTCACGCATTACCAGTACCAGATCACATCTAATTTAGCTGTGTACCTATTGTTAAGAATGCCAAGATTTGAAGGAAGCATGGAAAAATAATACCCTAGGCATGCTAAAGCCTTTCTCTTTCACACAGCTGTAGGTACACCCACACACGCTTGAACATGCACACACATTAACTCTCAGCAGGCCACGCATACACAAACTTACACACGCTTTCACCCAGTGAGTAAAGTGCAGCGGGCCCTGACCATAGGCCAGGCTTGTCCATTACTCAGAAGCTGTTTACAAGCTAATCCATGTGTGGTCGATGACTCACTGAGCTTTGCTTTTGTTCCTCCGTTGGCTCATCAAGATTCAGGCATGATGCATCGGGGTTAAAGACTCAGCTATTTCACTCTGCTCCTCTCAGATCGACTCAGTTTAGATGGCAGAAATCCCCCCCTCACTTTCATCCCTCCACACATTTGGGTCACATTGCAGCTGGTGTTGATCTACTTAATCAACATTTCCCCATTAATTACTGCAGATATTTATAACACAATCACTTGTTTAATCAGCACAGGCTCAGTATTGAATGCACAAGTCCAGTTGGGGGATCTGTAATCTAACTCGACAAGTGCAACCTGTGACTTAACTGTATTGATTCTCTCTCTCAGGTTGCATCCATAGATCCCACGGGTACATATGAGCAGATGAACTGCTTATATAGACACGCTAACAGTCTTTATCGCAAACTTGATACTACATGCACACTCCCATTTGCTCGCACACACTTCAAAACCACAAATCGATAATGTTTTCCACTTGCAACATGTTTTCTGCTTTGTTGTATTGTTACAGTCTTCAGATTACAGTCCGCAGCAAGAGGCTCTGATGAAGAAACAGGCTGCTACACTGGAAGAAATCAAGACCTTGACCAATCAGGTACACACAAGAAATTCAATTTAAACTGAAATTTTTGTTTTTGACAGTCCCATTCCCCTGGACCAGCTAACTAATACACTGGGGTCCTATGCCAGCCATCTCTCTTATACCGTTAGAAATCTTGGAGTGGTCCTGGACAGCTGACTCAAGTTAGACAAACAAGTTGCCTCAGTTGAGAAAACGGGTTTTTACCAGCTACGTCAAATCTCCAAGGCAAAGCCCTATATTCCACATAAAGACCTTGAAAAGCTTATCAACGCCTTCATTACTTCGAGACTAGACTATTGCAATTCTCTGTACATGGGCCTCCAATTCTCTCTCCTCCAGCGTTTGCAATTAGTTCAAAATGGCGCAGCACGCCACTTAACTGGCACCAGAAGGCATGATCATATCACCGCAGTTCTAGCCAATCTACACTGGCTCCCTGTTAAATACTGTATCATTTAAAATCATTTTGTATACTTTTAAAATGTTAAATAACTTGGCGCCCAGTTACCTAACCTTCCACCGAGTCTGCAGTTGTGCAACTCTGTTTTTAATTGTTTTCAACTGTTTTTGTTGCGTTTGATGTAATCTGCTTTGCTACCTTGTGTGAAGCACTTTGATGGACACTGTCCTTTTGAAATGTGCTATAGAAATAAAATATTGATTGATTGATTGATTGACACAGTAACACCAGGGCACACTGGTTTTATTTTTTTTCTCTTAGAAAAATGAAACTACACTTGCACACCTTATTCGTGTTTCCACTAAATCTGCATATTTGTAAAAACCTCTGATGACAGCCAAAACAGTCATGTTTACCAATAGAAACTCTGAGAGGTCCTTGACTCCTGATCTTTAGAAATGACTATACTTTATTACCTGATTTTTGGGGGACTGTCACAGAAAAAATAAATACATGTCCTTGCATTCTTTGGCAGTTCCAGAGTCCTTTAAAAAATTATTCCCAACGCTGCATAAGTTCTTACGTAGGTCTGCCCATCAGTGAGTAAAAATTAGAGCATGTCGCTTGTGTGTGAGCTAGCATCAACCAAGGGTACTCACCCATTATTCCATGTCACGCACACTGATTGGGAATGACCTTGTGACCGTCTGCCTAATTTTGTGCTGGTCCCGCTTTTGCAGCCAGTACAGCCCTGACCTGTGGATGCAACTACAATGGGTTGTCGACCAGTACCCGACCTTGATAAAGATAATGATAGAGATTTAATGTTTTACACTGTACTTGCAAAATCACAGAGAGAATTTACACAAACCTTACCTTCACTGTACCAAGAGTTTTTTGGATTTTTCTGTCCAAACAAATGTAGTGTAAATCTGACTACATTGATGGACTTATAGGCATCTATAATCCAAACTGAGCCAACCACCAAATTTTTGTTTTTCAACCACACTGCCAACCACGGCCATCTGTCCTTTCAGTGGATGTACGTAATGCTGCGGCATGACACATCCAGTTTGGGGGATGCAGAAAGTACACATCAAGCTCCCACCGCTGTAAATGATGTCAGAATGTTTTTTATGACAATACTTTGCTTAGGATTGGTGAAATGTTGGCAGTTATTATTGTGAAAAGAGGTGTGAGAAGACAGCTTAGACACTGACGTGCGAATGCCAGATGGACAGTGTGTTTTTATGTCTCACTAGTAGTATTAGCTTGCAGATAGAGTTTTCAATATTGCAAGAGGCGGGGGAAGGGATTCAAGTGAGGCTTTAAAAACAGATGAATGAAGAGAACTGAATGTGAGCTAATGTATGCAGCTGTATTTAACATACTTACTGAATATTGAGCCACTTTTTTTCCATATTGGTAAATCCCTCACTCTTATTTGCAATCAATCAGTCAAACTTGGGTATAAGCCAGTTGAGGTCGATCTTTAGTTTTACTTGCACGAGCACAGAAAATCATTCTCTAAAGATTATGATAAGCACCTGCCTGAAAAGAAAAATGTGTGAAATCATGAAAATGTCAGCCCATTCTCTTGATAATCCTCTGACTAACCTTTGGCCCCTTGTGTTGGCAGCTCAATCAAGAGGCCCTGAAGGAGCACGATCAGAAAACAAGATCACTGGCACGAGAAGTGCGAGAGGCCGTTAATGTATGTGTGGGGGCGCACTTCCCTGAGTTGGTCGACGAGGTCGACAAGAGTGGGGGGGGAGTGGGCTTCTATGGAGATGTCTTCCTAGGTTAGATGTGCCTTTTGATTACCTCTCTCTGTGTAACTCTGCTATAAATGTTTTGTTGTTGTTTTTTCACTTTTATATCTGCTTTCAAACTGTTACATAACCTATAATCAGGGCGCGGATATGAAATCGTAGAAGATTGCTTAATGAGAGGTTCTCAGAGTGAAGTTGCAATTTAGTTGTGCTAATTCATAGGTGGGTGTATACTTTGGGGAGCTGATAATGAGGTTTTCACAAATGTCCAGGTACTCCAAAATTAGATGATTTTGAAACGATTTTTTTTTAGTTTCTATTTAACTCTTTATTTCTGTTTCTTTTCACCATTAAAAAACCCCCACCCTAAATTAGGCGACAAAGTGACAAATATCTTGCAGGTGTGGGCTCTGTAGCTCTAAAAGCCTTAGAGAGGTGCTTGTGGTCTCCTTTCTGTTCTCTTAAGTTAAAAATGGGACTAAATGTAGATGCAAAAATGGGTTATCAGAGTCTGCAGGGCTGAGCGAGACAATGGCACATCAGTTTGCATGTGTGATAAGTGCTCGCTTGGACTCTGTGATGTAGCTACTACATATGTTTTGCAAAATTAAAAAACAAACAAAGGTAAATTTGCTTTGTAACAAGCTTGAAGCTCCTGTGACATTAATTCCACGTATACGGCACATCCTGTATTGCATGTAAAACATGAAAGTTTGGAAAATGTAGACGATTGCTTATAATGTGGCTCAACCTATTTTTAGTGTACTCTTTGGATTTTCTCCTATTCTATTCCTGTGATGAATCGATGATTAATAAACTTACAGTTACTCGAAATATGTGTTATTTTTCTATCACTAAAACTGCTACATCCTTTTATTTTTGTAGAGGTTGATTTGTTAAATTTCTGAAGGGGAGGTTTGTCTTTCTTAGCTAATCCCTGAGATATTATATTAACTGTAATTTGTTGAAGTTAAGTAATTATCATACTGACACATAGCAAAATGATATGAATCATCATATGAAAAGCAAATGAAGCTGAATCAGTGACTGGAACTTAAGTAAAGAGGTGATGGGAAATGAGGTTAGGTATTGTCTGCCAGTAACCCTTTCTCTTTTCTCCTGTCCACTGTCTCTCTTACTCTTTGCGCATTGCTTCAAACCTCAGTGTAATTTTGCACATTATAACCTGATTCACAATACCACATAATTGCTATGTGATGGATCACGTGCTCTCTTAAAACCAGAGCTATAATAAAGGCACGTGAATCAGAGATAATGCAGGTAGTCTGGGTAAAACTAAATAAATAAATAAATCCGGAAATTGCAGGGTTTCAGCTTAAATTTCAGCTACTTATGCACTGTATCCTGTGAGAGTCATTTTTTTCCCCTCAAGTGTTTACACGCATATGCATGCATTTATTAGTGAATGCAGCTTTTCTCTGACTCATCATCCCGTGCAATCTGTCCATTCATTTGATTTCCTTTTCCACGCGACACCCTTCTTCTGAATCAAATGACATGAGTGACATTTCAAAGTGGGGGATCTGGATAAATCTCTAGGAGACACAGCTTGTGCCCGAAAGTCCTGCCACCTCATACACAACACAGATGAACTGTTAGCTTTCGGGTGTGAATCCAGTCAGCCCTGAATCACTGGGCTAATTATCTTACATAAGGATGAAGACATCTCCAGCAGGTTTGTCTCAAACCAGCTGGAGAGGGATGGCCTGAGCAGGATCTCTCACCGACAGGGAACACATGGCTACTCAGTGACACTGGATGAAAAGCCAAAAGGAGGAGGAAAGCGTTTCCGTTCGCACACATAAATGAATCACAGAGTAGCTGCAAAAGCAAAAGTTTTATACTGTTTTATTTATCTGTGAGATAAAAGTAAAGGTAAAGAATTTCCTAAGAAAAGCTAATTAGATCCTAGGTGGTTTAAATGAATGGCATATGGTTGACCTGTCGCCCCCAAGCAGTTGAGGTAGACGGCTGCCTGTTAAAGGGCTTTTTTTCCTTCTCACTCTAACCTAGTGCTTGCTCATAGGGGGTCCACTGACCATAGTGCCTTTCTCCCTATTATTGTAGGGTCTTTAAATTTAATAGAATCTAATTAAAAAGTCTTGATATGTCATTTGGTATGCAATATACTTTTTTCTTTTACTTTAACCTCAATCTTTTTTTAATTTTGAGAAATTACATCACTTGAAAGCACAAAAAACTGTTAATAGCTACGATCAGTGAAATTGTACTGAATCCTGGCAGTGGCTGAAAAGACAGTACTAGCCTTTGTCTGTTGCCGTCTGTGCTCAGTTGTGCCTCCCCTTGCAAAAGACCAGAGAAACCAAATTCTGCAATCAAAAGCAGAATTCTGCACAACAGCCATATGAAACATTGAACATGCGAGGTTAAACGAACAGCTGACAAGAGATTTGGTATTTTTCAGTGGAATAAGCTCTAAAAATAGGGGTACTGCGAGGTACATGCACATTTTTTTTCTACTTGTTATTTCCTGTGTGAGGAAGCAGGTCTGACCCACAGGAGGTGGAGTCAGGATCCGTAGCCCATCTTGGCTCGAAGTGGATGCCATCCTAGATGAATATTAAGCACCCACACCACCCACATAAACACCACCCACATAAACACCACCTGCCGAGGCTGCACTGTTCACAGCCTGTTTGTGGAGGATTCTGCGAGCTGCTAACTGCACTTTCTGTTTTTAAAGAGAGTACAAGATTTGTGAAATTGGTTGATTTCTGTTCCTGGGTGCCCAACATAATCTCATTAATATTATAATTCTGGCATGGGATCAGCAGCCCAATGAGTGTGGCTCATCGTCGTCGCAGTCACCCTCTTCTCCACTGTATCGCATGAGCGCTGAGGGCCTGTGAGAGGCACCTCCACCTCCTCAGAGATGCAAATTTGAGCGTCCTACATGTGTTGATGATATGGCCCTTTCGCTTAAACACACAGACACATACAAGTGCACACGCACAGACACCCACATACTTTAAAGTAGCTGCAGACAGTACTCTGACTACCTGAATCCTGAGTTTCCCAGGTGGCAAAAGTTCATGTTTTAAGGCTCAGTTTGGTTGATTTATTCTGCTCTTGCTCTTTCTGACATTTGGTTACCTTGTCGTGTAGTTATAGCTCCATTATAGCTTTAACCTCTCTGGATTAAGAGCCTCCATCTCACAGTGAGTTAAGAGAACAGAGACACATCCTATGTAAACCCTGACAGCTCAATACACTGTTATGTAAACAGCAAAATGCCTGGGATCTGTTGTTGCTTCTGCAGTGTTATTGGTTCATAGTTAAAAATTTCAAGCAACAAGAAAAAAGTCTAGCACTCAGATTTCATAAAAGAAAAAGTGATAATATTCTCCCAATTTCTGTTTCATGCAGAGCGGTCACTCAACATAAAAAAGAGAAGATGGATATTTTGTATAATGGTTCTGTTGAAGGTTTAAACAAAATGCATTTTGTTATTTGATGGGATCAACAGTTTAATGACTTTTGATTTAAGTTTCAAGCACTTACATGAAACACATGCTCTGCAGAAAGTAAGACAAATGTTTCCAATCTAACAATCTAACTCACTTAACTCAATGAACTAACTCAATTAATAAGCATTGAACCTACACATTAGAACTTAGCAAAGAACACATTTTAAATGATATCCCTGAAAGTTTGGCCAGCAACCTGTTGCAAAAAAAAAATCACAATTTGTTCCAATTTCTTTAGTTAAATCTACAAAAAGGCCAAAGATAACAAATTTTGACAGACAACAATGTGATTCCCTAAGAGTTATTAGCCAAAAATTTGGAAGAATCCAAGAGAGAGTGCCGACAGTTATCTATAAAACACAGTGGAGGCTCTGTCATGTCTAGGCCTACATTTCATCCAGTGGTGTTAGGGATCTTGCCTAACTTGATGGAATTATGAACACAGACAAAACATCTGATCTTGATCCACTATCAGTACTATCTGAAGAACATCTGACTATCAACAAACTCATTTTTCAGCATGACAGTGACCACAAACAAACTGCCAATAGAGTGAAAGGACACCTGGAAAGAAAATCTTTGATGTTGTCTGTGTATCTACAATAGTACATCTACAGTATATGAACATATTTTATTTAAATGTAGGTATAATATCACTTCATCTTGCCTACATCATTAGTTCCCTTCCCCATGTCGGCTTTTCTTTTTTCTTTTTCTACATTTGTGCTTCATGTGGCAGCAGCTCAGGAGAGTGGTGGGTGTAAAAAAGGTCTTGAGCCACATAACACCCACAATGTCATGACAGCATGTGCTCTGTGTTATGCATTTAATACAGGTGAGTCACCAAGTGCCTCTTTTCAGAGAAGTCTTATCAAGGGTTCATTTAAAACTTGCTTTTACTCAGAGCTACTTTTATTGTACACTGTATGTGTCCCCCCCCACACACACACACAAAGAAGCCAGTTTTAGCAGTTGGATGGTGAACGCTGAACAACGTGAGTGGCAGAGCATGTGGCAGAAAATGGATATCCATGGGCTTCAGGGCCATTAGTTCATTTAACAAGAAGTGAAATTCCTCCAAGGGAGCACGGCGTGAAAAGGCCTGTGATTTACAAAGCGATGGTGTCGGGGTGACGTCTGACCAATGAGTTTTTTCCCTGTTTTTAAAGTTAGAGACGGTCATGTTTTAAAATCAATAAAAGGTTTATCAGAAGAGCAATGGATCAGTTTCCCTTTAACTCAGAGTCCATAAAGTGATGGACTTGAGGAAACTGACTAAAACGTTCACTGGTGTCAGCAGTCCAGCCATCATATCAAATGAAATCTGGCATGTGCTATTGTGTTAGAGTCCCCAGGTGCAATTTTTCTGCTTTCTCCACTGACCCAGCTAAACCTGCCATTTGCTGCAGCTTCCTCCCGTTGAGGCAGACCTTTACTCCTGATGCACCCGAGTGTTACCCGCCTCTGTACGTTGTGGACATCACACAAATGCATTTGTTATCCACTTGTACAATTTATTGAGCTGTCAGAGATGAGTGGGCCTGCAAGGCCACTAAAAGGGCCTGTCAGGTGGAAGATGGAGAGGGAAGCTCTGTGGCTCTCCATCTCTTCCACATCACTGCAGAAAAAAGAATTTCTGTCAGAGCTGATAGATTATGGAAGTGAGTACAGGTGGTTCATAGGAAATGGCATTGAAGGCAAATCCTCTTGTTCAACAGGAAACCAGTGAGAAGTTTTAGTTTTTGCAAAACTCCTTATGTTGGCCTTAGAGACACAGGCCTGGAGACCAGTTGACAACCTCCTGGAAATCTGTGTTTGATAGTGAAGTATGTGTGTTCCTCAACCAGTTGTGAGTGGTTGTTAGAGGTTGCCAGCAGTTGCTGTGAAAGTAATTGATAAAGTCTTATGTATGAAAGACTAGAAACTGATTGGTGACCCAATAGTAAACACTGGTTACTAGTGAAAAGTGTATAGTTCAGTTAAGCTAGTGATCACAACTGGTGACTAAAGGTATACAGAGGTGCACCAAAAGCCTCGCCAGTAGTTACGTGAAAGACATCAGCTTGTCTACAAACACTTGGGAAAGACTTGCCAAGCAATAGTGAAACTGAAAATCGTAAAAAGAAAAGTGAGACTGTTACTTTTCAAGGTAAAAGTTTTCTGCAATCAACACATTTCAAAAGATGCAACTTTTACTTTGAAAATCGGTTACCGGTTTATCAGATACTAGAAGAGTTTAGAATTATGATTGCTTGCAGATTGGACAAGTTGAAAATATTCAGAACTTGTAGACAAACATTGCAATCTCCATTTCAGGTGCCTTTT